GCGGCCTCCCCGGGCCCCGGCGGCGGCGCGCGACGCGCGGGTGCCAGCGGACCGGTCCCGGGCCGCAGCCCCCCGGCGCCGGGGCGCCAGAGCGTCATCCACGTGCAGGCGGCGGGCGCGCGGGACGAGGCGTGCGCCCCGGCCGTGGGCGCGCTGCGGCCGTGCGCCACGTACCCGCAGCAGAACCGCTCGCTGTCGTCGCAGAGCTACAGCCCGGCTCGCGCCGCTGCCCTGCGCACCGTCAACACGGTCGAGTCGCTGGCGCGCGCCGTCCCAATAACCCTGCCCGGCGCGGCGGGGGCGGCGGGCGCGGCCGAGCCCAAGTCGCAGACCTACACCAACGGCTTCGGCGCGGCGCGCGACGGCCTGGAGTTTGCCGACGCCGACGCGCCGGCCGCGCGATCGAACGGTGAGGGCGGCCGGGGCGGCCCCGGCGCGGGGCCGGCGCAGCGGCGCTGCCAGCGCGAGAACTGCGCGTTCTACGGACGCGCAGAGACCGAGCACTACTGCTCGTACTGCTACCGCGAGGAGCTGCGGCGGCGGCGCGAGGCGCGCGCGGCCCGGCCCTGAGCGCGCGCCGCGGCCCCGCCGGCTGGGCTGTCCTCTCCACGCTGTTGGTGTCTCCTCCGCGCCCTGGTCCACCGGGAGGCCGGCGATCCTCTGTCCGTGCTGTGTACGTGTTTGGTCAAACGTTCCTAATGGTGCCTGAACCTACACTGACGCCACTCAGGTAGTAGACGGATAGGAAACAAGTCATACTGTTGGAAGTGGGTGTGCTAGCTAGCATCTGCCTCGTACCTGTGGAAACTCAATAGCCATTGCAAGGGTATTTTTGTTCTTCAATAAGAGAAATAAAGAAATTTGCAGCCCTTTGTTTTTAGAAGGGAGTGTTTTACATGCCTTTTTTTTTTTTTTTTTTTTTTTTTTTTTCCCTAACCCGGCGACTGACCTCTTCCATGTAGCGGTCACCTGCGTGCGATTGTTGCCACCTAGGGTTTCGAAGCAAACGCGCGGCCCCGGGACCGCGGTGGCGGCTCTGCCTCGGGCTCCCACCTGTGCCCCTCCCGGGTCCCTGGAGGACAGGGCGGTTGGCCTCCCACTGGCGCCCTGGTGGTCCCTGTGACCCTTTAGGAATACACGGCTCCATCTCATAAGCAAAACCTCCTCCCACAGTCCCCGGCTCGAGCGACATTCACACTGCCATCAAAGTCGCGGGCGTCTGTAGGATGGGCACCGGACAACCTACCTCGCAGGGCGCGGTGAGGTGTAGCGATCACTCCCGGTGCCGGGCAGCTCAGGCGACAGGAGCTTTCCAAAGACACCTTGGGGCCCAAAGGCAAGGTTCCGAACTCACAATTTGGAGTTGACCATATATGAGCAAAGATGACAGCCTGCTCACATTTCTCCTTCGAAGACACTTCCTCAATGCTCTGTCACCAGAGTGGCCCCTAGGAAGCGACCATCGGTGCCCCAGGAGAGAGGCGAGAACTTGACCCTGCGGTCACTGTGTAAGCCCCCTCTAGGCCGCCCTGAAACCCGGCCTGCGCCTCTTTCCAGAGGGGAGGGGCTGAGGGCCGCCGGGGAGGAAGCCCACCCCCACCTCCACCTCCACCCGCATCTGTCTGGGATCAGCCAGGTGGAGGGGCACCGCTCCCATCGGGGTCCCCTCTGCAGGGTGCGGGTAACCCTGACTGTGGCTCCGGAGCACATGAGGGGCAGCCCCATCCCTGAGCAGTCCCTATTTTGGTGCCTCCTTACATTTCTTGAGGAAAAAATAATGTGTCCTTAGCTACCCTGTTCTGAGCAGCAATATGCAGCGTCTTCCTTCCAAGATTACCTCTGGAGAATACCGTTCTTGGCCAAGGACACTGAGGCGTTAAACCTGCCTCACTAAGGAAAGATCTCGTTTCCAAGAAATACAGATACGATGGGTAAAATCCTCACTAGCAAAAGAATCCTTTAAAACCTGTGAGAGCCTTAGAATAGCCTCTAATAATCCCAAGAAAGAGAGGAGAAAGCACCCAGCTTCTCTGTGGGTGTATCTTCAGAAAACACAGGAGGTAGACCATCTCTTCATTGGCGCCAGCTTCTCCTTCTCCAGAAAGGATGCTTTCCCCCGAGATAAAGAGCAGAAAAAAAAAAAATACGGAAGGGGATTTTTGTTTTTACTTGTTTGAAGAATTATTGATATAATAAACTAATTTGAGTATCTCCTGTGAGTAATTTCTTTTTGTTTTTAATTGTCCACAGCACGTGGAGTTTTCAGTAATTTATTCAAGGTTTACATAAGTGGTTCCTTAAAATTATTTATTAAATAGGATCTTAAATTTTTCGAAAGTTTTACTTTTCGTGCTAAACGATACTTCCGGTGTGTGGTAATTACTAACATTCATGTCCTTCATATTACTGGGGTTTCTTTTGTTAAAAAAAAAAAAGTAGTTTTTAAAAATTCTCTCCTCAAGAGGGTTTGTGGCAGCTTTTTGGACTGATTCTTCACGTCATGCTGACCAGCTGCTTTGCCATCCAAAGCTGTGAGGTCACAGGAAATAAATATGGCTTCACGTGTAGACGCCAGTTCCTGCCCTGCATCTCACAGAAGGTGGAACAGCCAGCCTGGAAAATGCTCCCCTGCCCATTCAGAAACCAAACACACACGCACAAGAAGTCAAGGAGGCAGAAAGTAATCTCGTGTTTGTTTCTTAATTTTTTTAACATGAAAACAGCCAACCAGAAATTTCCAAAACTGGCTGTGCAAATATTTTATCTTTCTCATGCTCTCTGCCAGGTTAAAAAAAAAAAAAAAGGCAAACTGAGAATAAAAATGGTCCATTTGTAGTACCAGAGGAAAAAGGAAAACCTTTAAAGCCAGGCAGTGTTATTTGTAGGTAATATCAAAAAACAGTGACCTGTTCTAGCTCCTCGGATTTCAGGGTCACCACCACCACACCCACATCTGACATATATGCCATAAATAAGAGCCTGAGATCCAACCCCAGACCCCACCCCAGGCTCCTCCCCTCCCCCCCACAACATGGAAGACCCCTGCACCGGCCGCTCCATGTGCAGGGCGCCTGTGGGTGTCACTCCCATCTGGTACGATGCCCTCCGTCCACATCGTTTACAAATAGACGTCTCCTCTTGTGAGAGATCTGGATCCATCCTTCCTCTAAAAACAATGTTAAAAACTGAGAGAGCCCACTGTTCCCTTAAATGTGCTGGTCCAGCCACCCACCCCACCCCACCCCACCCCCACCCCAGTGTTCACAAGAGACCTTTAGCCCTGGTCCCAAGCCAGACATCTCTCAGGCGAAATGAGTTCATCAGGCTGGACGGGAACTATTAGAAACTGCTGTGTTTCTCACGTGTGGGTCAAGAGGTCCTCTAATGTCCTTCTGTGACTTGGGGGCCCTCTGTGGAGTGGGAGGAAAAGGAAGTGGATTGGGGGTGCTAGAGAAAAGGAAGACGGCCAGTTCCGATTCTAGAAAGGACATGAGCCCCACCTAGGCACAGGTCCTGGACACGGGCTGAGCAGCTGCCCCACCTGTGGGCCGCCTTCCCCAGCCGGTCTGACCTGGCCAAACTTCCCTTTCTGGAAAGGTCAGATGTCTCTTAAGTGACAGCAAGTTTCCAGAAGGATCCCAGATACTTCTAAACCCCAGTGGAGGTTATTTCAGTCATTTGCTTCACACTTCCTGCAACTGCGTTACCTGGGTATATGACTTTTTAAAAAATAATATATTGTGAAAGGAAGGCGTTTTTAAGTGTATTCTGTTTGTAGATTTTATGCTGTTATGTTGAGATTTTACAAGCCAAGTTTAAACTGTACTATAGAAATTATTTTTATATTATTTTCAGAATATGCCAGAGAGCAATATTTTGCACCCTTATATTGGCACAGGGTTACCCCCTTGGGGGGCTAACTTTAGGTTGGGTGGGGCTCCGCTGTGGGCTCTTGGGGGTGAAATGATTTCTGCTCTTTGTTCAAAGCCCCTCTGAAGGTGGAACTGTGTAAATGTCTCCTCTTTTTCCATGGAAAGCTCAATTTGTTTTCTGCTCCTGGATTTTGGTACTGCATCTTTCCTCTTAAATGAATACTTTCTATTCACTAAGTTACTGTGGACCTTTTTCTTGCCTATCACCACCCAGTGGCTCCAGTGGTGTTCTGAAAAGTTGGGATCTGTTACTTTACAAACTTTATGTTTTCCAGAGTGATTTGGTTTATTAATTCTGGTAGCTTACCGTCAGGAATTTAGGGACTCAAGATAGCAGGGGGCACACCTCGAGGTGTGAAATCCTCCAGGCAGTGCCCACCGCCTCTGGGGCAGGGCCGTGGCTACGTGGCTCTCACCTCCTCGCTTAGCGACTTCAAGCTTATTTTGCGAACTACTCTACTTTGCAGAAATAAACTTAACCGATCAAAATATATTTCACGTTGGTTAAGAAAAAAGGGCTGTACCCATCAGTGGTGGGAAATTTGTGTGAGGAAAAAAAAAAAAAGGCTTTGCCAAACCATGTGTTCCATTCGCTGTATCTTTCATGTTTACTAAGAGACGTGGAGTAATGCACGTTTGGGAGGGTTTCTTTCTTTAGGACACGATTCAGTTTTCCTCATTGTGGTGTGGACTTTACAAATTAAGTTCCTCGAGTGCTTTTTTCTTTTTCTTTGTTCCAACGGTTATAATAAATAAGAAGAAAACGTGTGTCGTGGTTGAGCGGACCCTGCCTTGTCAGACCCCGGCCGCTGTGACATTGCCTCTGTCCAGAGTCTGGTTCTGCTGTCATCCGAGCACAAGCACATCCAAGAAAGGGCCCCACAGTGGCTGGCACCCCTGGCACCAGGGAGCAGGCACCCCCTTCCAAAAAGCCTTAAAGCGGTGGCTCTCTGGAGACCTCCGGGCCCCACCTTGCCCTTCAGTCCTAACTATAAGTTCTCCTTGCTACTGGAACTGGGCCGCTTTGGTGTGGGGCTCCAGGGTGGGGAGAGGTGCCCAGCTTCATTCTTGTTTCTGTCTCGTCCCCCCAGTGCCCAGATCCACTCTCCAGCACAGGTCCCAGCGGCCCAGAGCGTGATTCTAACGGTGGATCTGCTGACACGGGGTTGGGCCCAGGGCGCTTCATCCCCAGGAGACCCACAGGGCACACATGATGACGAGGGGCCCCACACTCCCCTCAGGAGGCCTGGAGGCTGCAGGGAGCGCTCCGAGGCACCCTGATCAGGAAGACTTTCATGATTGCTCCGAGCAATGTGCGAGATGGTCTGTTCGCAGTCACGTGGGTAACTTTGTTCCCCAAAACCGGTCCTTCCTCTTCGCTCCATGCCCACCCCCAGCAGAGAATAGAGAGGGGGCTGCCCTGCACAGACCTCTCGGGAACAAGTGTGTAGTCTGTGCTGTGTCAAGATGCCGTGCTCCTCCACCCCCACCCCCACCCCCCACCGGCTGACTTAATACACACATCACTGCAGGAACAGCACAGAAACCAGAGTCTCCAAACAAGGCTAAAATATTACTATTTCCATTTTATTTTGCAAAATAATTTGCTGAAATTTCAATTTTTGCTGTTTGATGCTTGCAAAAAGAGTCCCACCCTAATTATGTATGTACAAAATGATGCCCATTGCTTATCCTTTTTTATTCCTCCAAGAGAGCATCTCAAGAATACACACACACACACACACACACACGCACAAACAGTTCTTTAATGTAAGATGAGAGGTACCACTGGCTTTTTAAATATAGGCTGAATATGCTCAAGACCAAAGCAACCCATTATTTTAAAGAGGGTAAATTAGTGGAGCCAGCTCCTTGAGAACATCTGTGATAGAGCAGACACTGCAGGATGACTTCAAAGAAACAACTAGGTTCTGACAAAGA